GATTTCTAAAAATACTGTAAGTAGGCAGACATATTCAATAAAAAATGCTGGTGTTTACTTTTTATCAAAATGTCACAAATGGTCGTAAAAAAAAACTGATGCTTATTTTTTGACATATTTTGCTGATACGGATGAATCCTAATGGGTTGCAATAAGGGTTATTGTATTTTTAGTGTCTGTTTTGATTTGTTGTACAAAAACTTCGATGAAACCACAGTCGGCGCTCGGCCGCCATCGCGGTTGGTCGCTGTATCGCCTGCAGGAGCTGAAAAAGATCGCTGTACAAACACAAAATATTTGAATTTGATAAATAGGTACCTGACCTGACAAAGTAAAGTAATACATAATATGTAATATAAATATATTTTTATAATCACAAATTCTTATTATAATGTATTGTTTCGCTTAAAAGCAAGTGGGATTTATAATATATAAATATATATAAATCCTATTCGTCTTGTAGGTATGCCGACTTTGGGCTCGTTTTGTTAGTAATGACGAGACCTTACCTCCAGACTTGACAGAATGACCTGATGGTGTACGTTGGTGACTACTACTACAACACCTGGACGAGTGGAACTAGGTGTGCCGAGTTTGGGCTCATTATGTTAGTTATGACGAGACCTTACCTCCGGACTTGATGGAATGACCTGAAGGTGTACTTCGGTAACTGCTAGTGGAACTCCTGGACGAGTAGAAGTAGGTATGCCGACTTTGGGCTCGTTTTGTTAGTTATGACGAGACCTTACCTCCAGACTTGACAGAATGACCTGATGGTGTACGTTGGTGACTACTACTGCAACACCTGGACGAGTAGAACTAGGTGTGCCGAGTTTGGGCTCGTTTTGTTAGTTATGACGAGATCTTACCTCCGGACTTGATGAGAGACCTGATGGTGTACTTCAGTGACTACTACTGGGACTCCTGGACGAGTAGAACTAGGTGTGCTGAGTTTGGACTCGTTTTGTTAGTTATAACGAGACCTTACCTCCGCACTTCATGGAGAGCCCTGTCCGTCATTCTCATCATAACTAACGAAACGAGCCCAAACTCGGCACACCTAGTTCTACTCGTCTAGATCTAGTAGTAGTCACTGAAGTACACCATCAGGTCTCTCCATCAAGTCAGGAGGTAAGGTCTCGTCATAACTAACAAAACGAGCCCAAACTCGGCACACATGGTACTACTCGTCCCGGACTTCCAGTAGCAGTCACCCAAGTATACCTTCAAGTCACTTCACCAAGTTCGGAGCTGAAGTTATCATAACTAACAAAACCAGCCCAAAGTCCACAGCCAACATCTCACTCCCAGTAGAGGGCTTCTAGTGCCTAGATGTCACTGGAGCAGCCATTTATATTTCGTATCTACGTATATTTTTGTAGTTATAAGAAATATGAAAAAAAAAAAACAATCTCAAATTATCAAAATGTTTATACTTGATTGCGATTCCCGCAGCTAACCGTGCGTATACACTTGTGTGGGTGACCCGTGTCAATGTAATAGTTCGTATAGAATCGAACAATATCAATTTTGTAAACGCGTCCTTAATAATTTAGAAGATAAAGGCTGTCCTAGTTTGTTAAATCTGTATGATCGATATAAAGATTGTAAAGATTTGTATAGTTGTATTAATCACGACTCAGTATGTGCTTTGAAAAATGTTTTTTGTTTAAATAAATGGTGCTCTGATAAATAACATTTGAAATATTCTTTATTTTATTTCATAAAAAACTCTCCACCAGCAACTTTTTAAAATGTTTATAAGGAATCAGCACAGCTTTGCAGCTTCATTATACTCTTGCAACCAGCAAGATCAAACCTCCACAAAGCATGAGGGACATGTCTCAAAACGAATACAGACCCCGATATAGTTTATATGATTCATATAAAACACGCTTATTTTCATTTAGCCATTATTGGGCAACGAGTGATTTAAGAGAAGCAGTGGTGAATGAAATGGCTGATGCGGGATTCTTTTATTTTGGCGATAGCATAAATGATACAGCTGCTTGTTTTTCCTGTGGAGGAGTTATTAGAGATTGGGAGATTTACGATGATCCGTGGATGCAACACACATTACATTATCCTCAATGTTTTTATGTGAACGCCGTGAAAGGCTTAGATTATATAAATGACGACACCACCTATTTTGGCACACGTACACACACACGAGATCATTCCTCCAGAACAGACAACACCTGTTTTGAAGACTCCAGAAAAGACCCAATCTACGTTGACAGCTCCACACATTCCCACAGTACCAAAAACCATTGATTATTTTACTTCATCCAGCGCGGAAATACTCAAAGAAATTCATCCATTGCCCCAGCAACAGTTTAAAAAACAAAGTAGGGGTAGAAAATTACAAAAATCTGAAATATTAACCAGCACACCTGTAAAAACCATACAAGAAGATAAATTTAAAAAAAACAAGTTTTAAAATAAACCTTGGAGCTTCTGTGTCTGGATTAAAGAAGTCAACAACCGGCAAGAAAAAAGACTTTTCGAAATTAAAGACAAAGAGTGCAGAAAAGACAAGACGAGGTAAAGAAAATGAAGAGAAAAAATATTATTGTACTATGTGCAAGGACTTGTATACCAGTCCCCCCATAGAAGACTGGATTGAATGCTCTCAATGTCGCGAATGGACGCATGAGAGTTGTTCGTCATACTCGGGACATGGTTCCTATTTTTGTGATTTTTGTAGTGATTAGTTTCCGAATGCTAAGGGATATATCCGTTTTGCCCTCGAAGTATATCCGTTTTACCTACCCTAGTAGGGCAAAACGGATAGTTCAGAGACTTTTAAAAAAAAATTAAATGACAATGAAGATGTTGATTTTTATATTTTTTTATTTTTATTTTTAAACATTATTAACCAGAGTTTGGTTTTGTTTTAATTTCAGTACATGTTATTTGATTATAGAATGTATTTTTATTATTCAACCTTAACGGATCCTTCTTGCCCTCCCTTCCCCTACGCACGGTTAGCTGCGGGAATCGCAATCAAGTATAAACATTTTGATAATTTGAGATTGTTTTTTTTTTTTCATATTTCTTATAACTACAAAAATATACGTAGATACGAAATATAAATGGCTGCTCCAGTGACATCTAGGCACTAGAAGCCCTCTACTGGGAGTGAGATGTTGGCTGTGGACTTTGGGCTGGTTTTGTTAGTTATGATAACTTCAGCTCCGAACTTGGTGAAGTGACTTGAAGGTATACTTGGGTGACTGCTACTGGAAGTCCGGGACGAGTAGTACCATGTGTGCCGAGTTTGGGCTCGTTTTGTTAGTTATGACGAGACCTTACCTCCTGACTTGATGGAGAGACCTGATGGTGTACTTCAGTGACTACTACTAGATCTAGACGAGTAGAACTAGGTGTGCCGAGTTTGGGCTCGTTTCGTTAGTTATGATGAGAATGACGGACAGGGCTCTCCATGAAGTGCGGAGGTAAGGTCTCGTTATAACTAACAAAACGAGTCCAAACTCAGCACACCTAGTTCTACTCGTCCAGGAGTCCCAGTAGTAGTCACTGAAGTACACCATCAGGTCTCTCATCAAGTCCGGAGGTAAGATCTCGTCATAACTAACAAAACGAGCCCAAACTCGGCACACCTAGTTCTACTCGTCCAGGTGTTGCAGTAGTAGTCACCAACGTACACCATCAGGTCATTCTGTCAAGTCTGGAGGTAAGGTCTCGTCATAACTAACAAAACGAGCCCAAAGTCGGCATACCTACTTCTACTCGTCCAGGAGTTCCACTAGCAGTTACCGAAGTACACCTTCAGGTCATTCCATCAAGTCCGGAGGTAAGGTCTCGTCATAACTAACATAATGAGCCCAAACTCGGCACACCTAGTTCCACTCGTCCAGGTGTTGTAGTAGTAGTCACCAACGTACACCATCAGGTCATTCTGTCAAGTCTGGAGGTAAGGTCTCGTCATTACTAACAAAACGAGCCCAAAGTCGGCATACCTACAAGACGAATAGGATTTATATATATTTATATATTATAAATCCCACTTGCTTATAAGCGAAACAATACATTATAATAAGAATTTGTGATTATAAAAATATATTTATATTACATATTATGTATTACTTTACTTTGTCAGGTCAGGTACCTATTTATCAAATTCAAATATTTTGTGTTTGTACAGCGATCTTTTTCAGCTCCTGCAGGCGATACAGCGACCAACCGCGATGGCGGCCGAGCGCCGACTGTGGTTTCATCGAAATTTTTGTACAACAAATCAAAACAGACACTAAAAATACAATAACCCTTATTGCAACCCATTAGGATTCATCCGTATCAGCAAAATATGTCAAAAAATAAGCATCAGTTTTTTTTTACGACCATTTGTGACATTTTGATAAAAAGTAAACACCAGCATTTTTTATTGAATATGTCTGCCTACTTACAGTATTTTTAGAAATCTTAATATATGTTGATAATAGAACAAAAAATGTACCGAAACATGAGCCGGTATCGTTAATTTTGTAGAAAATGGCTAGGGAAGATCCTTTTTACAATGTAAAAAACTATTATTTTCAACAAAAAATTACCACCATTTGAAGATAAAGAACCATTATATACTTTATTAGTTATATTTGATTTGGTTTAGTTTTGTCACAAAATGTACCGAAAAACAGCATAATTTGGCCCGATTTGCAAACGCACCCTTAACATTTTATAAGATAGATTTTAACCATAAAACTTTTCTAAACCTTTGACGTATATACATTTATCCTTTATATTATCTGAAATCAAATTCTGATAATTTAAATAAGGTGTTACTCCCTCACACCAATATATCTTTCTATTACGTTGAATCCAATTTACATGTTTCTTTTCTTTTACAGTCAATTTGTAAAAAGGAAATGGTGGTTTAATTAAAAGTCGTTGTATTTTATTGTTACACAATATTGCAATTTCTTTCACTATGAATTCATTTCTTTCTGTTTTGAAACCTTGGACATCTACGATAGCAGTCATGTCAACTTGCGCACTATGTTACTTAAAGGCTTATATTCCACAAGTTAATCGTTAATAATTAAACAATATCCAGTTGTCTTCTCTGGTATTGCTGTTGTACATTCAATCTCCAAACGAACATCTACGGGTCCCGTTTTTAGACTGTCGATTTGTCTTGAACAATCTATCACAAATAGCGGAGCCTTCTCCTTAAAGCTACTTAAATCAAGCAATGGGTCTGCGGGACAGTTGTAGTACGACTGGCGAAATTTCACATACATTTCGTATAATATATTAAATTTGTTTTCGGAAAACTTTAAACATAAGGGCTCGTATGGGTAATATTGTGAATTCAAAAACAATGTCACAATTCTCACTCCACAGTGATCAAATACTGAACAGTCTTTCATTTCTTGATTTTTTCTGTTTGTTTGTAAACAAAAAATTACATATCGAGGTTTCTCTAATTGTGACGCAGTCTTAATAGACCAGGAATGATTAGTTGCTGTAGGAAGTAAAGGGTATTCATATAAATCCCAATTTCTAAATGCCATCTCTATAGGTTTATCTCTTTCTAAATGTTTAAGAAGTTTCAGTCGTTCACGATCTGATACTTTCACATGTGGCACTCGCCATTGTATTCTTTGTATGTCTATTTGAAAATGTGCAACATCTTCAGTTCAGTTTATTTTAGAATTACTTCTGTTCAGTATAAGTTCATGTTTACAATTTATTACAATTTTAGCATAATCTTCTGCAAACCCTAAAATCTTATTTAAAGGTACAGTAGCACTAAAATCACCGTTTCCACTTTTAAATCCATCCATATCCCAACCCCACAAAGCTGCTACTTAATTTTCTGCTTCATTCATTGAAATGTATGATTTAATTGTTGACGTTATACCAGCATTTTTAATACGATCTATTTCGATTCCATTTATCTCATACCTTATGTCTTGAAACAAGAACATAATAGGATTATTACTGAACGTAACAGATTTTTTAATCTGGTTTCCATCTTTGCTGAAGAGCTTTGCACGGCCTTCGATGTAAATTGAACTGGCTGATGGTAATACATATATGTCTTGCTGATGTATGGGAATTCTTATTTCATCGTTTTCTCTAAAGCTATTATTATATGGATTATAAGAATGGACTTCATAATTTTCAATAGAAGTATCGAAGTTTGGTAAGTCATTAATCTGTAGTATATTCATACTTTAAATCCTAAGGACTTTAGAAAATCTTTATTATTTTTACTCAAGGTCTTAAATTTTTTCTCACGTCTTCGCACCTTAGTGAGTGTAGAAGTAATAGGGCGCTTTAAGTAGACTGTAGGGTTTTTATAGTGCAATATCATTTTACTTTCCTCAAATGGAGGCGAATTTAAATATATTGTTCTTTGAAATTAATTCTGTAGCCAAATTGATCTAAAACTTTAATAGTTATAGATGTAATATTATTTTTATTCACTGGGAAGTAAATAACGTTGTGAGGTATTTCTATGTATTGATTATCTGCAGCAGTTTTAGATACAAATTCGTGAATAATATGAGTAGATAACCCGTTGCAATATGAGCCGTATATGAGATCACATTCGATTCTGATCACAGATGGGAACTTGCTATCAACATAAGAATATTTTGTTGTTGAGTTTATTACTGAAAAATATAATATAGCACTCGTATTGACCTGATAAACTCAGAGGCGGTTGAAAGTAGGAATCCAATTCTGATTTATTTCCTGAGATAGTAACTGTTAAAGACATGCTTGTATACTGAGCAATTTATGAAGTTCTTGTTTATTTTGTCTTGATTGCGCCAAAAATTCTCCAAAAAAATCAAACAAAGATGTCCACAATTAAAAGGATGATCACGCTGTATTTTATCATAATTATAGTGGATTTTAGGACCTAAATATTTTATCAATTCCATTGGAGGTTTAAGATTTCCATAACTGTCGAAATATTCAACATAATTATTAAATTTTACATAGGCTACCCAATGAGATCCCGGATTTGAGGAAATATCTAAATTTATAACGCCACATTCTTTTTTAAAAGGGTGTGTTGGGAGCTCATCTCTCATAAAGACACCTCGAAAATAGGGAATATTTTTTCCAAACTTTAAAATGTCAATGTTAGTTAAGGCGCGTTTGGGTAGCCTATATTCTAGTTTTTTATTTCTTTAGATACAAAAATGCCAAATCCATATTTATGAGGCTTAAACTGTAACCCATTTCCGATACAAAGAGCTTCCATTTTTTCATTGTGTCTCTTCAATTCAGCAAATTGTTTTTTAGCCATTTTGATTTCATTTATAGTTTTAAGTATACCAGCTACACCACCTGATAAGGCTCCCGTAGCCGATAATCCGGCAAAAATCGGAATCAATGGTAGTACCCCACCAGTTTTTGGTATAGGAATAATGCGAGGAAGTTTTATAACAGAATTATCAACTAGTTCTCTAGCAGCAGCTATAGCTAGCTCAATTGCTGCTTTCTTGCATTTTGGTTTTAATTTTTGCATACGTCTTTTCGTTTTTGTAATGATATTCTTAAACTAATTTTTAATTTCCCAACTTTCTCGGAGACATTTTATTACTATTGCCATTATTTAGGCCAGCCCCAGTTTTAATTTTTGATTGCATAGCTTTGCTTACTATCTTTGCTGCTAACTTTTCTCCCAAATTTGCATCGGGAGCAATCTCTCGTGTTTTTGCCATTTTTAACAAAACTAAATCCGCCTTATGTCGATCCTTTAAGTTTCAATATTTGTGATACGCAATGTCGTGGTCTTTACAATATCGGTCTAATTTTTTTTTTATAGGATAAGGGTGACAAACGAGCACACAGTCCACCTGATGGTAAGTGGTTGCTGCGGCCCATAGACATCTACATCTATCCTCGTTTGCGAATCAAAATGCAGATGCGTTGTCACCCGTGAGGACTAAGGTAGAATGCCTCATTTCCAGTAAAAAGGGCCTCCGGCCACCTGCACTCACCAAGCGAAACGCAGAGGTAAACCTCTACTTCACGCTAATTTGTTTATACCTTTGACTCCACGTGATAGTTTTTTGATTAAATTTGTACCAGGACCACAATAATTGTATCCCGGTAAATGTAATTCAAATGGTAAATTATTAATCAACCTTTGTTATAATATCGCCACCTAATTCATCTTTAAAATACCCTGGTATTTGTTTATTTGCTTTTGGAATATGGTATATATTATTCAGGAAAATTACTTGTATCAAAGTACTTAATATTATCTTCCATATCTTTATAGAAGTCTTCAGTGTAAATTAAATACAAAAGACTAGTATCAGTGTAACAAAGTTTGATATTATTATCTTTGTATATTTTCTTCATTACAGAATAATGAAAATTATATAAATGACTTTTTGCAAGTTCCAAAATAGTAAAGCCCACATAAATTGGGCGATCCAAGATCACTTTTGTTGGTCGGAGTTGAATGGTTACGAGGCTATCAGAACTAATTGTAAAATTTTTGAAACTAGGCGCACTAACATATTTTTCGGCACCACAGACTTTATTTGTGTTATTAAAATTATCTTTCCATACATTTACTAGCTTAACATCGACTTGTTTTCTTTTGTTCTCTATAGTTTTCCAAAAATTGAATTGTTTTGTTTTTTAAAAAAGTCTCTTTCAAAATCAGATGTAGCATTTTGTCTTAAAGATGTATTTAGGGAAATATCATCATCATCATCATCATTACAGCCCTTCACAAGTCCACTGCTGAACATAGGCCTCCCCCAAAGAATGCCACAAAGCACGGTCCTGAGCCACCTGCATCCATCGACTTCCTGCATATCTTACCAGGTCGTCACTCCATCTCGTGGGGGGACGCCCTACACTTCGCCTGCCGGTACGAGGCTGCCACTCGAGAACCTTTCTTCCCCATCGGTTGTCGGTTCTTCGAGCTATATGGCCGGCCCATTGCCACTTCAGCTTACTAATCCGTTGGGCTATGTCGGTCACTCTGGTTCTACTGCGGATATCCTCATTTCTGAGTTTATCACGCAGAGAAACTCCGAGCATAGCCCTCTCCATAGCTCGCTGAGCGACCTTGAGCTTCCTCATCCGGCCAGCAGTGAAGGACCACGTCTCAGTTCCTTATGTCATCACTGGCAACACGCACTGGGTGTAAAGTCTCGTTTTCAAGTTTTGAGGTATACCTGACGAGAATATGTGCCGTAATTTCCCGAACGCTGCCCAACCGAGTTGAATCCGTCGATTGATCTCTCGGTCGAAGTTGGAGTTACCTAGTCGGACTATTTGTCCCAGGTAAACATACTCGTCAACAACTTCGAGCTTAGTGTTCCCAACAACTACCGGCATAGGTGTGACATGGATATTAAACATGATCTTTGTTTTGTCCATGTTCATCTTAAGACCTATCCGTTGGGAAACACTATTGAGGTCATTGAGCATAGTGGTTAGGTCCTCCAGCGATTCTGCCATAAGGACTATATCGTCGGCAAATCGAAGGTGAGTGATGTACTCGCTATGGCTCTAAAAATGCTTTTTGATTGAAAGCTAAAAATCCTATGAATCTTCAATAAAACAAGTCCGTTTCTTAGGCATTCTTGTAAATGATGGTAATGGATAACATATTTATATTTATCATAGAGATTCGCAACCAATTTCTTATTACTAATGTTTGATGATATTGGAACTGTTAACTTTTCTGCTGCAAACGGTAAGTCAGAATGTTCATCATGAATATTGCGTGGATATTGCATGTCAACTTTGAGTATATATCCTTCATTACTATTAGAACTAATAGAGTTAATATCAAAACTTTTTAATTATTTTTGTTTTAAAAACCGAAAATTTTTATAAGGTAGTTGCTGCATCATAGCATAACCATACAAATTTACACAATCTAAATAAACTAAGAAAGAATTTGGATCTTCTTCATTAAAATTTAGTAAGTATTTGTTATTAGCCTTTGCATACCTTAACGAGCATTGAGATAGCCCTCCTCTTATACCATTTTCTAAAAATTGATAAATTTGTATATCAGTAATTAAATCCAACTCAATACTTGTCAACAATAGCATAGCATCCCAACTTAGTGAAGGTGATGAAACATAATGACAAGGATCGAGACCATAATAATTCAAACTCATGGATCTAAATTTCTCAAAAACGTCGCAAAGTAGTAAGACATCGCATTTCAGATATAACTCGGTATATTCACCTAAGTTTTTAATACCAAAATTTTGCCACACAGTTAAAGCATGATTATAATCTTCGCTTGTTATAGATTCTGATGTTAATTTATTGTAAAATTTTGATTGCTCTGGTAACTGAGTTTCTTTATACTTTTCCCAAGAATCTACATAGTCATAGCAATATACACCTTTCCTAAGACATAATCGGAATAAATTTTCATCTGGAAAGAATGTTCGCAAATGTTTTAAGTCTTCAGGATTTAGAGTTTGTGCTAAATGATCTAAACTTGAACTCAGGAAATTAAAGGAGTCTATAAATTTTAATTGCGCTGACTTCTGCATATCGATTGGAAAAAACTTTTTAAAAGAAATAAATTTCTCTTTGTTTTTTGGAATTAAATTCATACGACCGCATACACTAAAGGCCGGCAACGCATCTGTAATTCCCTCCCTGGTGTTGCATGGGCGGCGGTAGTTACTTACCATCAGGTGAGCCGCATGCTCGTTTGCCCCCTCTCCTATATAAAAAAAAAACACTTGCAAGTTCTTTTATAAATAAATGGAAATCATATCCAGAAAGATTGTGAAATATAATAGGAATGAAATTACATTTTCTATTGTTTAAATTACATGAATTATGAGCTGAACCTCTGTATTTTTCGTGATTCGTCTATGCGCGCTCGTCTCATAAACATCAGTTCTGTGTGTTGCGAAATATACCCACTACGAACAATTATTTTCGAACAATCGTCGTTATGGCACCAATTCCAAAGTGTTATACGTGCAACAAAATAATTACGAAAAAGGCGCCAGGTCTTGAGTGTAGTGTATGTAAAAAAGTGGTTCATGCTACTACACCTTGTGCAACTCTAACTACGAAACAGATAACTGCGCTACGAGCTCAAGTCAGCTTAGACTGGACATGTAAAGACTGCCTGAAAAATCGTCCAAGACACAGCTCTTTTATAGTACCAGAGGAGGACCTGCGCAGATGGCTACTTTCCATAGAGACTGGC